TTCATCAGAGAAGTTTCTGTTCAAGTCTCTTGCCCACATAGAAATGGGGTTATTTATTCTTTTCTTATTGATTAGTTTGAGTTCTCTGTAGATTCTATGTTATTCTATCTTTGTCAGTAGCATAACCTGCAAAAGTCTGTCATTCTGAAGGTTGTCTGTTTGCTTTACTTACCATGCTCTTCACTGTGCAAAAGCTTTTTAGTTTGATCAGATGCCGGTAATGTATTTTTGGTGTTGCTTCAATTGCCTGGGGGGTCCACCTCATAAAATATTCTCTAATATCTTAAAGTGTTTTCCCTGTACTCTCTTCAAGTGTTTTCTTCAAGTGTTTTTCCTGCACTCTCTTCTAGTATTTTTATAGTTTCATGTCCTAAGTTTAAATCTTTTATCCAGTGAGGGTCAATTTTTGTTAATGGTGAAAGGTGAGGAGTCCAGTTTCAGTCTTCTACAGGTTGCCAGCCAGTTCAGCCAGCACCATTTGTTAAATAGTGCATCCTTCCCCCACTGAATATTTTTGATGGGCTTGTCGAAGATCAAATGACAGTAAGTAGCTGGGTTCATCTCTTGGTTCTCTATTCTGTTCCATAAATCTACCACTCTGTTTTTATGCCAGTACCATGCTGTTTTGATAACTATAGATTATAGTATAGCCTTAAGTCTTCTAACGTGATACTTCCTGATTTGTTCTTATTTCTGAGTAATGTATTTGCTATTTGAGATTTTTTCTGATTCCATATAAAATGAAGTAATATTCTTTCAAGTCCTTTAAAGTATGACAATGGTGCTTTAATAGTGATTGCATTAAATCTGTAGATTGCTTTGGGTAGTGTAGACATGTTAGCAATGTTGATTCTTCCCAGCCATGAGCATGGTATGTTTTTCCATTTGTTAATATCTTCAGCTATTTCTTTTCTCAGAGTTTCATAGTTCTCCTTATAGAACCTTTCACGTCCTTTGTTAGGTAAATTCCCAGATATTTCATCTTCTTTGGCACTATTGTAAAAGAAATAGAGTCCTTGATTGTTTTTTCAGCTTGATTATTGTTGGCATATATAAAAGGTACTGACTTGTAAGTATTGATGTTGTATCCTGAGAAGCTGCTGTATTCCTTGACAACTTCTAAGAGTTTTGAAGTTGAGACCCTGGGATTTTCTAGGTATAGGATCATATCATCAATGAGGAGTGAGAGTTTGATCTCTTCTGACCCTATTTGGATACCCTTGATCACCTTCTCTTGCCTGATTGCAATGGCTAAGACTTCCATCACTATGTTGAATAGCAGTGGAGACAGTGGGCATCCTTGCCTCGTTCCTGATCTGAGTTGAAATGTTTCCAATTTTACACCATTCAATATGATGTTGGCTGTGGGTTTGCTGTAGATGGCCTCTATTAGTTTAAGAAATGTCCCTTCTATGCCTATTTTCTTAAGAATTCTGATCATTAAAGGACGTTGTATATTATCAAAGGCTTTTTCTACGTCAGTTGAAAGAGTCATATGGTCTTTGTTTTTTATTTTAATGATGTGATGTATTATAAATTTGCATATGTTGAACCAACCCTGTAACCCTGGAATAAAACCAACTTGATCATGGTGTATAATTTTTTTTTTTTTGCAGTTTTTGGCCAGTGCTGGGTTTGAACCTGCCACCTCTGGCATATGGGGCCAGCGCC